CGTGGCTTCTCTGAACCCTTAATTTAGCCATCTTGTTGGGAGTCTATTCCTTTGGTTCTATTTATTGGTAGTGCAAATGCATTTCTGCTAATTATTTCCCCTTTGGTTTTATTTATTGGACATACATATGTATTAATGTTAATTAGATAAAATATTTCTTGGATAAAAAAATCTGATATCAACTCACAGGCTGCCTTTTATATGTGGCTTCTCTGAATCCTTAATTAGCCATCCCGCTGGGAGTCGTTTCCTTTGGTTCTATTTATTGGTAGTGCAAATGCATTTCTGCCAGTTATTTCCCCTTTGGTTTTGTTTATTGGACATACATATGCATTAATGTTAATTAGATAAAATATTTCTTGGATAAAAAAATCTGATATCAACTCTTATTGTATTTAAAAAAAAATCTACTATTTTTTTTCAATAATTAAAAAATAATCTGCTATTAACTATTCTGAAGTTTTGAGCCTCTGAGATGGATTTTATTTTACCACTTGCTAAAGATCTTTCTAGTAAAAATAATCAAGAAGTAAGAGATTTGCTGCTATGAGCATCATTTGAAGTTTTGAGTAGTTTTGCTTTTCGATAAAAAAAAATTGTTTCTAGAAGAACAAGAATGTTATCAGAAATGTGGAGAAAATAGTTCAACGAGAAGATAAGATATCCTAAGAAAAACTAAATACAACAAAACAAAGAAATTTTAATATGAGGGGCAGGTCAGTTCCTACGCTGGAGAAAACCATGAAAGACAAGATGAGCCTTAAACATAATATAGACGATAAAGTTAATCTATCTCAAAGAAGCTGGAGATTTTGTAAATGACTTTTTAAAATTCTGGCATTCTTTTCCAATCGAAAGAGCTACTTTAGTTAGTTCGAATTATGCTATTCCTATGAAGAGATGCTTTCTTGTTAGCAAGCGGGGGCATAATTGTGTAATTTATGTGTTCATTACGGTTGAATTTTTAGTAAAGTTAATAAACAGTCTGGGTGTTTCATGACAGATATTCTGTCTTTTGCTGGTTTTGGCAGACTGGATATTGCATGTTTCTGTTGTATATCCAGTTCAATCAACTCTGATACTGATTTTACCATTGATATTTTGGCAGTCTCATGCTGGGAAAGTTGTTGAGAGGCACTGGTATGAAAAGAATAAGCATATCTTCCCTGCTTCAAGATGGGAGGTACTCTCTCTCTTCTCTTGTGCACCCATTCATTTAAGTGCATGCACATATGACATTAACCCGGAAAGTTCTGTTATGGGGTTTGAACTATATCTTATGCTCTGTTTTAGAAAGGTAGCAGAATTATCGGATAGTGAGATTTTTAGGCCTATAAACTATATATTACTCATTTTTGTTAGCAAGGTGTTGGGATTTATGATGCCTCATCTATGATGGCGACCTAACTGAACAGAATATTTCATCAGGCTGTACCTTGCCGTTGGGCCAGAATCACCCAATAGTTTTACTCATCCTTGCCTGATAATAATTTTATTGGATATTTTGTCTACTGTTAAACTCATTGAATGTCAGGGAAATATTAAGTCTAGTGAATATTTTTATTAACCATTAGATCACCAATAGTGGATTTGGGGGTGGTGTTTAATGATTCCAGAGGTTAACAAGATATATATTCCCAAAGGTCTTCTGAAGAACTATGTCACCTTAAGGGTCTATGAGAATTGGCAGCATTAGCATGGGAATTTTAGCCTGAAAATGATCCAAGGGATTTGTCTAATTGCTTTCTGTTTGCACTTTCTTTTCTCTAAATTTCAATATACAGATATACGATCCAACAAAGAAATGGGAGCGTTACACCATACATGGCGACTGATGGTCAAACAAACAATTTTCCTTCTATTGGAATCTGCTTGAACAGCTGTACTCAGCTTATGTATTTGTATCTTTAATTTTAATGTAGGCTTAGGATTTGGAGCCGGGGGGAGGCCCTTTGCAATCTGAGTTTTGTTCGATTTATGGACTTTTCTTGGAAACTAGTTGTATGAAAATTGACAACATTTTTATTGACTCCATAAATTAATTCCTTCTCTTGTGTTTGTTTATGACTATTTTTTTGCTTAGCAATCCGCCAGAGTGCCCAGTAGTGCCTAGCTGCCTGTTCTCAGTGACTTTAGTGGGAATGAGCCGAATGGATATCTGGGCATTTGGTTGAGTTCCATTTTTGTAAATACATCCAGACGATTCGGTTTGAACTCTAACATGAAGTTTGAATTTGTCGAAGAAAAACTTGGTAAATAACTATTCTTGAAATAAATTTTCCAGACGGCAAAAAGAAAATTTTGAATTAGTTTGTTGTACGGGATGGATTTCATGAGTTTTTATTCAGTTATACAATTTATAAGTACAAAAAATTAAACTGGTCTGTATGCTATTATTTGTATTTGTATTAATTTTTTTGTAATTTTTGTTTTTATATTTTTAAAAAATTTCTGTTCTATTCATTGAACAATAAAACTCTAGTGCTGCTGGGGAACTCAGACGCATGCGTGGAGGAAAAGAACTTATCTTCTCAACAAAATATCTACTATAATTTCGTCATATGTATATATGTATATTGAGGTTCTGGTAGTGGAGAAAGAGGCTGGGTTGTGGATTTGATCGTCATTGGCGGTGCTGCTGCTGCTGCTGCAACTGATAGGGAATATTGTTGAACATGATAATGGTGGGGTGTTCTTGGAGGTATCCTGAAATTGTGATGATCTTGTTGTTGCAGTCAGTGAAGTGTTTTTTTATTTTTAATTATTAAAAATAAAATAAAAAATTTAATTTTATACACATTAGATATTAAGTTATTAAATATGTGATATATTAATTTAGGTAAAATATGAAATATGTCACAATCTGAATTTATGCAATATTTTTACTAATGTGTATTAATGATAAATAATTAAATTATAATTTTTAAAAAATTATAAAAACTAACAATGACAATTTTAAATAATTTTCTAATTTAACATTTTTACCACAAATTAGACGTACCCTAATTATTAATAAAACTTCAGAATTATATTAATTTATGTTTTGATTAAAAAAAATAAAATTTATTAATAGGTAGATGAACAATACTACACGCATATAATAACATATTTTTTAAACTACAACTCAATACATATTTTTTAAATTAGATAAAATATTAAAACTAAAAGTTTTAATCTAAATAAAGTTACAACTAAACTTAACTTGATTCCTTAAGAAGAATTCTGTACCTCTTGATTTTTCCATTTTATCCTAAAATCTTCCTTTACATTGGTGGTAATGGCCCATTACTTTTCAATAATCTATCATAAATATTAAAAGAGATATAGAAATATATTTTGATGTGCAAATACTAAAATATTAAAAAATATATATAATATTTATGATGTGGCATTTTGACGTGGCAAGCTCTGATAGGGCAGGAATGAAGAAATAAGCACTAAAAAAATACGTGAATAAGGAAACGTCGTCGTTTAATATGATCCTCTTCTAATTTTCACGACCCAACATCACCAATAAAACCAGACCTTGTCTCGTGTCTCTCCGTTCGGTGTTGAAACGCACGTTGATTCCGCTGGGAGTACCCCTTAAGTGTCTTTTTTAACCCCGAACTTCCTCCTCTTCCTCCCTAGCCAATCATGGCGATCATCAATTTTAGGGTTTTGTTCCTCGCTCTCCTCCTCCTGGCATCTCCTCTTCTTCAAGGTTTGTTGTCTCTCGCTCCCTCAATCTCAGATCTAGATCGAGTATGTTAGTACGTTTCTCGTATATGGACATCGTGTATAATCGTATGCTACATGGATGTACGCACACCTGTTTGATCCGTGTTTCCGTGAATTTTCCTTCTGTGTGAGGAGTTTATTTTTTTAAGCTGCGTGCTTGCATGCAGGAGTGGTTTTCTGATCTGCCGAGGGGGATCTGGTTTGACTTCGGCTATTTTATTAGAATTTTTCCGGTTTTTAATTTCAAGTTTTCTGTTCGAGCTTTTTTAGTATGTGCAGTTGGGTTTTGCTTTCGAGTGATTAGTTTGTGGTAAAGTTTGAAACGGAGTTTGTTAATTAGTTTCGGAAGCGAAATTCGCTTTGGAAATATCGTTTTAAAAGCAAGAAGAGGCCAATCATTTTTTGGCTGGATGATTACTGGTGTTGAGAATTTGTGAATACAACTTCGGCTGTTACTTTGTGTTGTTGTTAAGAGTTTGTGATTGAATGAGTTTCCGGAGATCTGCCATGATAGCATTTACAAATTTGAGCTCGCCTAGTAAACGCGAGTTATTTTGTACTAGAAATTTTGGTTTCTATGGTTAAAATTGTTTCATTTGCAAGATAATTTTCTTGGCATTTCCATCTGAGTTAGCTGCCTTTCACTTGATAGTTGCTAGGTGCCAATCGGACTCTGGGGATGCAGACACTGAAGTTGTTGGAGAGGCTGGTGATGACAACAATGAAGTTGGGATTGTCGGGGAAGATGCACAGGATTATGCTACTACCGACTTGGGTCCGGCCCATGGAGTTGATACAGTCTGTGTTTTCCCCAAAAACAGCGCAAGATGTGAGTTCACAGCAGAACTTGATCTTTTTAATGTGTTTGAGAATGCTGCATTCCTATTTCTGATCCTCTTCCCCTTTTTGCAGTGGTTCCAGCTGGAGAAGAGACTGAATTACTTGTTGGGATGAAAAATGATGGTAAATAAATCAGTTTTGTTTGATTGTAAGGCATATTTAGCCTCGAAATGTTATGCTCTATTAATGTGATTACTTCTATTATTTTCCATCTTTTGCCCGATACTGCTAAGTTCTTATGAAATAATGTATGCACCGCCCCCACCCCCCAACCCCCATCGAACCCCACCTTCTATCTCTGTCTTTCCAATGAAGATTTTTTAGAATAGCTGACACGTGGCTTTGGATGATAAACAGGAGAGTCAAGCATATCAATCATTGCAATTAAAGGCAGTGTTCATCTTCCCTTTGATCATAGTCTGCTGGTTCAGAATCTCTCTACACAGGTAAGTTTGCAAGCATTGCTCCGAATCACCTTGTATTTTATTTAATCAGTTGGTTTCAAGAATTGGAAGCTTTTGGCTGGTTTTGTAATTTTTTCCCGCATTAATAATTATTTTGGTGGTTTACCATGCTGTAAGTGCTTGGAAATAATATGTTACCACTATTAGACTTTCTATAGCAAGGTTTTCTTTAATTATTGGAAAGAGATTTTTCAGAATGGTAGAATCTTAGATGCAGAAAGATTTTCCAGAATGGTAGAATCTTTTATGCTGTCAATGCTAATAGATTAAAATATGTTGACAAAAATATTCAACTGTCTGAGTAGTTTTTTAGTATTTAGATTGTAGGAAGGCCCGCAATGGTCCTTGAAGCTTTGACTGCTTGAGCAGTAATATAGAAGATTCTATCTGTGCAGAATTTATCAATCATGCATTGCCTTCTTATATTTTGGTAAAGAACATTCTTATAATCTATTCAAGATGATGCATTCTGCTAAGAATTTTTAATTTATTGTGTATTTTAACTAGATCTGGAGTTATTTTACTAGACTTGTCTATTCTCTCTGCCAGCTTCTTTTTTAAAAGCAAGATTTTTTTACTCTTGGTTTTCCATCCTACCTTTGATGTATTAGAAGTTTCCTCACTTTTTACTTTTATACTAGATGTTTCATGATTTGTGTATTATGTTTGCTATTTTCATTGTAGGGTTTCAACAATGCATCTGTGCCAGCTTCTGCTCAGGCTACTTTTCCATACATATTTGGTGTCAGCAAGTACTTACAGGTATGTGGGTCAACTTGGTAACGGTGTTAATCATGATTGTAAACCTTTGAAGCAATCTGGATGTTATACCTTTCTATGGGCCTTCTTTGTATTGGAATGCTTGTAGGCGATGAAAGAGAAATGTTTGACCTCACATTGAACCTTCTTTTCTGCAGCCTGGAACTTTTGATCTTGTGGGCACTATTGTTTATGAGATTGATGAGCATCCATATCAAAGTGTCTTCTATAATGGTACCATTGAAGTTGTTGAATCTGGTGGTTTCCTCAGTGTTGAATCTGTTTTTCTTGTTACTCTTGGTGTTGCACTTCTTGTTCTACTTGGTCTGTGGATCCATGGTCAATTACAACGCTTTACCAAGGTACTTTATTTCGCCCTTATCTTTTATGGTCATTTTGAATGGTATATGAAACTATATGAAATTTCCTCGATTACACCTTGAAACTTTTATCCCAGAGTATCCAATCTAATAATATTTAGTCCTTCAGTTTAAGGAAGATAGATGTGTGCATCTGTACATACTTTTCATATGCCATTGTCTCAGTAGCCTTCGGTTATTTCTAATAGTGGTTGAGGAAAGCATCTATTGCTCTATTTAAGCTCTTTCAGTCCATTAACTTTTTCGGGGGTGAGATTGATTATGAATCTTGTATCGTGTATAATAAGGATAACGTATATTTAGTGCCTTCTTGCTTTTTGTGAGAGACCTCACCAAAATGCTATCATGAAACAAATGTTGTTTATAAAACATCTGTATATGGTGCGTATTTGTTTCTTGTCTTTTACCTGCCAAAATAAATCTGATACATTTTCGTTTATTTTATCAGAAAACTAAGAAGGCTCCAAAGGTTGAAGTTGGAACTGCCACTACAGATGCTTCAATGGATGAATGGCTTGAGGTATGTGGCTGTATCCGTCTTTGGATTTCCTTTTATAAAAGTTGTTACATCGGGGGCAAAAAGACTCAAACCAAAAATTTGGTGGTTAAAGACTTTGATACAAATTATTGGGTCATAATTTATCTTGGAATTTTTTTTGACTGGTTGGTATGTCATCATAAACATAAATGAAAGATTTAGGGGACATCATAGACACCTTGACTAACTTGTAAATTCTGTATTGTATATTCTTTTGTATTTTGGCCCCCACCTAGTTTGTGCTCTTTATTAAATCCTTTTTTGGCTTATATTCTCTTTTGGCTGTTAAATTATGCTCAGGGAACTGCTTATACTCGGTCATTATCCAGCAAATCAAAGAAGAAGAAGTAGATTAGCTGTTTCCTGGCAGTTTAGTTGCACAACACTAGTGAAATGCAGATATTTGCGCTAGGCATATGAAGAGTATTAGATTGGCGGATAAGTTAAGAGCAGTATATGAAAATTGAGCCAGATAGACTTGCCTTCTGTTGTAGCATGTGGAGAATTTTTTTTTTCTTTCTTTTTTAACATTTCCTTTCTCAAGGATGCTGAAAGTTGAGTTTTTTCGTTTCTTGGGAACTAACTTATATATTTGATGCCAGAAAAGATACAGTTTTCAACAACACAGATTTAGTTGATCACATCATATATCATGCTCCAATTTCTATCAATTTTCTATTATATCTTCCTTGAGCCTTTGGATTGTGGATGAATGTAGAGTTAAGCTATTAACATTTATGGTAATTTAGTAATCTTGTGCGAGGAATTTAATGCTCTTGTGTAATAGTCTTCTAATATTATGTAGTACTTATCTCAGTACTATTATTTTTAATAATGAAAAAATAATTATTTACTTCATTTACCATTAATTTTTGTATTAGTCTTTACCTCAACTTTTGATCAAAGTGGTTCATGCACTTTAAAAAAATAATAATAATTCAATCTTCCATTGTAACATAAATTAAATACTATAATTTAGGTGATTGCGTGATAATTAACGTAGATATTTTTTTTTTAAATTTAAATATGTTTGAAGTTAGGAAACTCATGATTTATATTACATGACATATCTGGTAGAATATTTATACACTTCTTATAAAACATTATAAAGTTCAATTTATAGAATTGTAATAATTTTCAACACAAAATTAGATTATTGTATAATGGTCGATGCCCGGGACCAAGTTATTATTATTTCTTTTTCTGCCTTTGTATTAAGCTTCTCTATTTTTTTTAATAAATGATTTGCTACAAAAAGATTTTTTTTTAGTGAACGTGTCACAGTTAATTAACTCCTATTTTTTTTTTTAAAGACGAAGAAAGAAATTCGATTTTCTCTCCTATTTACTACGGCGACGAAGAATCAAATTATCACTATATTTATTTCTTTTTCTACTTCTTCTTCCAAGTGCAGGATAACCCCAAGGGGTTGCGGGTTTTTTTCTACCAATTGGAGCCCTCCCTTCACCACCTCCATGGGGATGGTCTACAGGGTTCATAACTACTCCTCTTACTACAGGACGCTTACCTAGCCAACATTTAGGTAAGCGTCCTGTAGTAAATGGGATTCAAGTGAAGTTTTGATTGAAAAACTCGACGAGTCATTCGTAATACATAGTAAAAATCGAATCAACATAAATTTATATTTTACGAAAAAAAAAAAGTAAATGAATTAGTAATGATTTGTTTTGATCGATTTGGGAGAGTAAAATACAATTGGTTTCTTCGGTGTGTTTGTTAAGATTTGCAGAGAGGAGGATACAGGACTCCTAACTCGAAGAAGAAAATCAACAATGTTGGGATTAATTTGAAAATTCTTCGAGTATAATAAATATATGAATTTATTTAATTAAATATTTATACATACACGAATTTACAAAATGGAAAAACCTCGTTGAAGTTTCTGATTTAAAGTTACGATGGATCCTTAACCATTCTGACCCAATAGCATAAACTCAAATCCTCCTTAAAATGGGAACGTCATTTATTACATTGTATTTATTTATTTTTTTATACTGTTAAAATTATTTATGTGATATCGACATATATAATAAAAATAATAATTTAATAAAACTATGAGTTAATTAATAAATTTAACAAAA